GTGACCATCCTTAACATATCTGATAATGACATCTTATAGCTTGTGCTGTTTACTTTGTACCCTCGCAAAACAATCATGGAGCCCCCTACACGCCTTCTTTAACGGGAATGATTCATAGGCCCCCTTTCTGGGGTCACACTCGTGGTGACATGACAGCGGGCTATGCTGACTGCAGCAGACACTATGCAAAGAGTCGAAGTCGATTGTAAGCCTGCGGAAGTGTAATGACTACTGGCTAGTTTGATATGATTCCAAGTCCTGAGAACCCTAAAACCTAAACACTGAGATACTGCCTTCTTGGGGCTGTTTGCTCTAGAAACCATCATGCAGGTTGAGGTCAGACGAGGCATTCATAATTTGCCCGGGCTCGACTAAGCCCTAAACCCTGAAGCCTAGACCCCCAAACCCTAAACCCCTTAAACCCTAAACCCATAAACCCTACATCCCTAAACCCCAAACCTAAATCCTTAACCCTAAGCCCCCTAAACCCTGAACCCCTAAAACCCTGAACCCAAAGTGTCCATGGCGAGGCCAGAGCAGGCCGGCTTCTCAGAAGGCGAGATACAACCTTACCGGTTTAGGGGTGTAGGGTTTAGGGGGGTTTAGGGTTTAGGCGTGTAGGGTTTAGGGGTCCAAGGATTTGAGAGGTGTAGGGTTTAGGGTTGTAGGGTTTAGGGCGTTAGGGTTTAGGGGTTCAGGGCTTAGGGGAAAAGACAATTGAAAATGACATGGCAACTAGAGTCATGCAGTGGTTTTATAGGGATATTACCTCAAGAATGGGAAAATCAATTGGAAAAGAACATGGAGCATGAAATGGAAACTGGGGTTATATTGGAGTTATACGGCTTGACTGGGCTCCGATTCATGCAAGCTCCCATTTCTTAACCAGCATTGGTGGTATTGTCAAACTTTTTTTTGGGTGGGCTAGTGGTGGGTCGGGTAGGCTAAACATCAAGGGCTGTTTCAGAAGTGGATGTGATCATGATTTTGACACCCCAACTATGCCCATTGAATTTCGTACTAAGCTTCGGCAGCGCTGCTTTCTGTTGCAATACCTGGGTAATAAAACACACACAATTGCAAAACCCTAGCCCCCTCCTTTTGGGATGCTTGTAGCGTAGCCCCACGCACCTTAAAAAAGCGCGGGGTCCCATTTAGCACATTTCTTCAAAGGACTGTATGCTTCACGGGCCTCTTTGGGTTTCCACATTAGTTTGGGGGGGAGTGCATTAAACTCAGAACTGGTATGCACCCTCGGCAAAAACAAATCAACCACAACAGGGTAATTGCAGAACCCTACACACTGAAGAGGAGCCCTGAATGCTACCCTCATCCCTCCTGTATCCTCGCGAGCCCGCACTTCTTCAATAGTTTGTATTATATTGGGGCTATATTGGGGTTGTGTTGGGATAATTGAAAAGAAAATGGAAACTACTACGTAGCCTGTTTCCGGATTCATTTGTATAAACGTATCCAGATGCCTGGAGTTAGGGGTTAGGGTGTGAGTTTGTAGAGACCGCAACGAGAATCCTGTTCAACACCTGCTGGGCAAGAATAGCTGATCCTGATCAGGAGCCTTTTCTGCCCATTCTAAGCCCCGAACCCCAGACCTAAACCTAATTCAGAACCCTAAACCCTAATTAGCCCTAATGCTAACCTTGAACCTTGCACCCGGCTATCAGGTGTTTTAAGGCCGAGGTTTTGCCTACTTTCCTGGTAAAATAAATTCGGTTGTTGACGCCAGTCCTACAAGAGCTAGTACGAGATGGTTTCCGAAACAGCTTAGCTAGAATTACTGGATCTTCATCAGAGGTAAATCCCAAGTAGACAAGCATTTGAACGCTAGCCGACTTTTTGCCCCCATAAAAACAGCACGTCTTCCGCTGGCGAATGCTGCTCCATGGAGGATTGTAAGCTGCCAAGTGCTTGTTCAAAACCGCCCCACACCCTGAACCAAAACCCTTCACCACACGTAAGCTTCTGCGAACAGAGCGCGCCAACGTGGGCCACTGCCATTCCTTGGATACTGGGGGTAGTAGCTTCAATGGTGGCGGAGTGGCCAGCATCCAGTCTCATGAGCATGTGGTCTGAACATCACCTGACCTTAAACAGCGGCCACATGATGCAGTGAGCATGAAATGTCAAGCTGATGTCCTGAGAAGCACATCAGTTCATCATTTGTATTTCAAGGACGAGCATCGCACATAGGTCCATGCCATCACTCCGAGGAACAAAAAATGGCAATGAAGAGCACCCCACAGAATTTGCAGGACTTCTGGACCAATGAGGACAAGGACGGTTGTCAAGCATCATGCCAATGTCAGCCAACCAGCGCTCTGGCGGAACGAAGGATATCCGTGACAGCGCTTTGATTGCCCGCTACCCTTTTTTTCATGGCGCCAGCAAGTGGCCCAAGCCCAAAGCCGTTCATAGTGGCTTCTTTCTACAAGAACTATGGGTGGATGATTCTTTCTGGTAACCCTGACATCTACAGTATGTAGCATATTGTGGGGGGTGGTTCCTTTGAGGGCTGGGTATTCTAGGTGCATGCGCCCATAATGTTGACCTCAAGGCCTTAGGGGTTGCGGGGCAGAGATTTGATGGGGTCTTGTGCGCTACATCAATATTTTTCCTCGGGCATGTCTTGAAGTTTTGTAGCAAGGCTTTATTGGTGTAGAGGCGTCTTTGAAGCCTTTCACTCCCATTAATCTTGCCGGCAAGCTTCAATTAGTCTCACTGACACTGTTTTTGGAGTTCTGCGCTTCCACGGCGTCCTCATTTCCTTCTGCTTCAATCTTCGTCGTCTTGATGTGCCTGAACCTTGGCAAAACCAGCAGCTGCAATTTTGATGCCCTCATTGCCAGTACCCTCGTGACTGCTTCCTTGTTACCCTGAAGGTCTGATTCATGCTTGCTTTTTTGCTGCAGCTGCCGCTGGCCATGTGCTATGCCGTGCATATTTGATGCTTCCTCAGTCCTATAATTATGAGTGCATTGCTGCCAAAGATGCTCCTGCTCTGACCCTACATGTTGTAATGATCACGTCTGCCTGGATCTATGACCCCGGAAGTATAGTACATCCGCATTTGGGATGCAACGAGAGGTTCTGAGCTGTTACATGTTCTTTTCCGTTACATTCTCCGTTATCAGGGTACTACACCTATAATATCCCAACATATACCCCAATATACTATAGTTGTTTCCATGTGCATTTTCCATGTCACCCCTAAACCCTAACCAGTCCCTACACATTCCGTGCATCTGGAAGCCCTGAGCCCTGATCCAACCCAGGGATCTTTCAATGAGGTTAATACCAGGGCCAGTCCTACTGCCTCAGGGCAACGGACCTCATAACTCACATTACCTTGAATCTTAAACCCTGAACCCTATACCCATTAGGAGCATGCCTACTCCCCAGAGCCCAGGCAGGATCTAGAAAGTAGATCCCTTTTCATGGCTCCTAGAACTTACCCAATAGTACCATGGGGTATCATATCGCGGATTCGCTTTCTAGATTCTAGATCCTCCCAGGGGTCTGGGTCTAGAGTTGTTTGTGCGCCCATCTGAAGGGCGTATGCTGCGAAGGCTGCCAAACATGAAATGAATGGATCCCTTGGTGAACCAGACCTGATCAATAACTGCCGCCAGTGGGTGGGAAACCAAGAGCACCCCAGTTCTGCAACTGACAATGCCGGATAATCTCTTCTGAGCCGGGGTGGCCACCCTTGGTTTGTAGTAATGTATTTCTCACATGACGTCTTGAAGCTGGGGCCGGAATACCTTTCTCTCCACATCTCTGCAGCATTGACAGGTCCCACTGTGATGCTGAATACTCCGCCTTATGGAGCTTCGACGAAGGAATGCTTGAAGCTGGGAAGCCCTGGAACGCTTGTACGCATTTAACCGGCATCAATCTCCGATAGTCCCAACACCATGAAGGTTAAGGGTTTAGGGTTTAAGGTTTAGGGCTTGGGCTACCGCAATGTCAACGCGTATGCACACACTTCGATACCTTCTGCTGCCGGGCCACGTGGACTTCTGGAAAACTTCCTGGAACGTAGGTGTTTCTCAAGCTAGGGTGCCCCTCATGTAACTAGCGAGATCCTGACAACAGGGACCCACCCAAATTTCGTCCCAAACAAGGGTGAAAGGGGCTAAACCTAAATGTTGTCCTGCCTTAGGTTTGCGGGGAGGGCATACGCTTTAGGATCTACGGCATCTCTGACTGAAGAATTGTTGCCGAGGCAGTGTCATGAGATGTGCTGCTGCAGAGATCAGCGCATCACTAGACACAGTGCGCCGATCTACGAAGTCCTTGCGAGCCCTGTCATACCATAATCTGCAACATCTTGCCCGAACTGCCGCCTCATGTATCTACGACGGTCAGAAATTCCCAGCACCGATATCCTTATCAGGAGACATATTGGTAGCTTCTCAAAAGGGTGCCCTCTTCAGAGACCCAAAATTGGGCGTTATAGTACTCTGAGAGAAACAAGTAGGGAAGCCTTCCTTTCGAACCCCCCCCAGGGCGACCCCATAAACAAACACAAAGATTTCCACTACCAGCTGTCGCTGAGATGAGTTCGCCAAAGCCATTCCACACATCGTCCTGAGGCACCTGTGGGAAGAGCACAGCGAAACACCCGCAAAATCTCGAGGCTTAGCAGGCCTAAGCAGAAAAGACATACATGCAGCCCAAACTTTGGATTCTGGACCATCGGCCGTTTGTGCTGACTTGATTAAACCAACCCCCCTAAAAGCGAAAGCAGACTGATACCCACATCACGGAAGCAAACTCAATGTCCACCTCCCTACTTGCCGAGTCACCTGAACAACACACCCGCAACTGACTTCCTTCATCCGTTTCTAGAAACCCGAATAGCTGAACATCTTCCTCTCGTTTACCTCCACTCCGGAACCTGCTGCAGCAAATATAAACCCTACCTATCCTTGGCTGCTGCTACGGAACTTTAACTACGTTATCAGCATACGGAAGCCCTGCTATTTGCAATTTATCCGCTCCATGGTTAGTTGATTTAAGTTCTTCAAGCGCCACCCAACATCAGCCATTTCTGCCAGTACGCGTCGCTTGCATCTCCCCCACAAGCCCGAACACCGCTCTATCCTGCTCACTGGGACCATATGCCTATATATGAGACATGCGTCCTGAACTGACAGAGGCATGACTTTCCCGGAAGTGGTGTGCAAAGCCTTTAGGACTTCTTCGAAGAGAACCTCCGTGCGGCTGCACAGTTAAACAGGTTTTGGCAGACTGTAATGTAGGGGTCGGATTACAAAAGGGGGTCGTATTAGAGCTAAATCAGGCCTGAACGGAATAATATAAAGGGTGTCGTATTAGAGCTAAATCCGGGCTGAACGGATTAAAAACAACATAGGAACGGAATAGTGCATGCTAGCTTGAAATCAATTGAAATTGAATTAGAATTCTATATATTAGGGTGGGTTTTAATATTCGGGGGAAGGGATTTATTTATATTTAATTGCAAATATATCCCAAGCCTTAGGCCAGAAGGCTTAGGGCGTAGTGTTTAGGATTTATGGGTTCCTCTGGGATGCCGCCCCCAAACAAGTTTTCCCGTACTTGATTGGGGGCCCCCG